TGCCGATAAGAGGAATAATTTAACTCACATGTGCTCAGGGTGTGCTAGCGATTAGATCACATCAGCAGCAAAGTTTTGCCTGAATGATGATTAGATTCACTGCTTTGGATTGCTGCCTTTAAACTGAGAATACACTTACAGAATGACTCATTCCTTGTATGATAGAGTAAACAGTAATAGCACGGTGCAACGGCAGCAGTGGCAGCCTCCCCCGGGTCCTAATGCCTGTTCGGTAAGGAGTTTTACACACAGGAGAGACTTGGTGTTGTTTCCAAACAAAAGGAAATATATCGGTATCGGCATCGACTATCGGCCAAAAAGTCCAATATCGTGCATCCCTAAAATAAACCAAAATCAAAATTCATGTGTGATAAAAGCAATGCATTCTTACACAATAAAAACATGCAAAACATATAAATCACATCATTTTGAACAAAAGCTTGAAATGCACAGTGAAGGGCTTGGGACAATGGATGTTCTTTGGGTGCCATCAGCCAATCAGCATTGCCATTTTCTTCCAGTGATCAGTCACATGACATTTACAGCTCATGTGACTGGCTCAACAGCTGTGTCCATATATCATTGGCCGCAAATGAATATGCATACTTCCCTACTATAAATTAGGCAAAAACAAAAAATAAGTGCTTCTCGAACAGAAGGACACATCCTTGAAAGTCTGCATGTATAGGCTGCCACATCATAAAGCTCTGTCGAAGGATGTCTCAATCTGAAGGATCCTTAGTATATAGATCCTTATTGTATATAGTGTGAATAAGTGTCGGACATACTACATTCGTTATGTTGTTGTTGTCATGTAACTTACCAGCGTCAGCTGTGTCACTTCACTGCCATTCACAGATTGTCTCACATGGCCTCATAGCAAAGCACCCATTAGATGGACATTTCAGAATGTAATCTGGGTGCTTTTTGCCCACAATTTATGAATACTATGAATTCGGACATGCTACTTTGTTCACATACTGTTTTTTTGCTTACTAAGCAGGGAAGTATGCGATTTCAGATATGAATGGAAATGCTAACAGACTCCTTTCTTCAGATACAGTATTATAACAAAGCTTCTCTACTCTTTCATGCCCCCTGTTGGAACCCAAATAGTGTTAACACAAATCCACCTCACTGTGCTAACAATGCTGGGTTATTAGCACATCTTGAGAGTATTCAGTCCTTGTTCTATCCCATAATCCATATGTGCCGTGTCGGTTTGTGGAGCTTTCAGAGGAAGCCTCCTGGCTCGTCTCTGTGGCACAGGCAGAAAAAATGGCTCTGTCCAGATTCCACCCTATAATCAGAGCTTTTAACAGCTCTCATTTTCTGCTGTATATATAACTGTAATTGTCAGGCAATACTCCCATGGCAATGCATATGTTCTGCCATTTGCAGGAAATGTCAGAGCAGAACTGTGAGGAACCAGAGAAATTTACTCAAACGCATATAACACAAAACCTGCACACAGTATGACTAAATCATTTGAATATGTTTGCTAAGGAAAATCACAAAAGCCAACATTTATTTTCATGAAATAGGAATGAGTAAATATGATTAAAAAAGACTTAAATGTCAAAGAGAGCATATGAATAAAGAATATAAATATGCCCTAAAAGGCTTTCACAAACACACATTTCTCGATGCTGCATTGATATGACCTATAATTGTAATTGTATACCAATATAATTAGAATTATTTGTGTAAGGCCTATTTCTTAGCTTTTCCTGACAAACTTTCATAGTGACTGAGGTAAGATTTAACAACATAACTTGGGCTTCAAAACAAGTCTGAAAGGGAATATATAACAGCTCGTAATATATTCTTGACCTAAGCTTCACTTGTTTTATTGCTTTGCTCTGCAATACAACAGTTCCTTCCCAGTGAACAAAGCTATACAAAAATGACTGTAGAACGGCCATATACTCTCATAAAAATGTCACACTTCTGTTGATCAAATATAATGTCACCTAGTTGTGCCATGTGCAGAATTGACAAATACATTGATACGAGGGCTGAACTGTGATCTGTCTCATCAGTGTACAATGCTTTCAGCTAGACAGACATGCTGAATGTCCTCAGGCTGGTGGTTACAGCTTTTTCCAGAGCTCTTATAGGAACTAGATGACCCTTCAGGGAAAAATTGTATTATTTATTAATTCATTCATTCTTTTTTTGACTTTTTTTATTTTTTTTATTTTTTGGTTTCTCATCTGAAGAGCAGCCATTTACCTTTATTTGGTACAAAAACAAAAACACAGAGAAAAGTCTTTCACAAACACACATTTATTGTTAATGGAGTCCCTGTGCAATGGATCATGGTACACGGAGAGCATAAAACAGAGTACAGGCAGCTAAATGGGACCTGATGAGTGATATTTATTCACATTTGAGATCAGTTGTTGGCAGACTTACTCCTGTAACACCCATCACAAAACAGTAACAAGAGTTTATATCACGTTGGCGTTTCTGGAATGATTTCGGTGTTACTTTCCCATTTATATCTGTCCTGACTGATCTTAAAAATAATTTTGAACAAACTGGAAAAAAAAGTGTATTTCATCCCTGAGAGTATTGCAAATTACATTAAGAGCTTAAACTCTCAACTACTCCATGAAAAACTCCCAGAAAAGTGCACAATTAGCACCAGAAGAGATATATATAGTTTGCTGTGAACTATGGACTGAAATCAATTTATGCACCACTAGTACTAAGAGCATACAGTAACATGCGAATCATAAATAAAAGCATAGGTGAAATAAATCAGGAGTAACATGGTGAAAGTTTAGTATACAATACAGGGACAGAATAAGTCATATTTAGGGACAGAATAAGTCATATTTATGAGCTTACAAATGTTTAAAAAAAAAACGATATTGTGAAAATGGAAAGTACATAAGTTGATATCTATAAACTGAAAATGAGCACAGATCATTCACTGAAATCAACCATTATGGATTAAGATAAATAACAGAAGGATTTGAGATAAACAGTAGGAATAAATTACATATCAGTTCATCACATGCACAATAACTGTTACATTGTGTCTTGTGCTGTGCAAAAATTACAAAAGTAAAAACTGATACAGTACAGCTCAAAAGGGTCTTCTAAACCCCCGCCACCACTATTTATAGACAAAGGGTTCACTACTTTACGAATATATTTAATGCTCTGGCCCATAAATGTTCATTCCCAGCATCACTGCTTTACAATACACAAGGTACTCCTTTATACTCATAGACGTTTAATAAAGCTTCAAGTACATGCTAGACTAAGAAAACAAATTCATTCATCCACAAATCAAACCTTGAACATGTTAAATGAAAATTAAAGCAGCCAACCATTTAGCAAGCGTTTATTAATACTATGAACTATGGAACTAATGAAACTAACAAAACTTTGTTTAACAATGTATTTAATAAATTATCTTCAGCATATACAGTACACTTTGTTATCCTTTAGGATTCAGGAAAGTCACTGAAAAATTATTTTAAAAAAAAACCTTCAACTTCAATGTTGAAAGATGGTAGTGAATGATCCATTTCTTCCAGAATACTGACGTCCATCAATAAAGTGCATAACTCAAACAGAAGAATTTAAATTAGATATAGAACTCATTAATGAACAGAAAAAGTGAACAAACTGCATTTTTATGTTATATAAATTAGATCAGATAAGTATATTTTTGACTTACTAAGATTTCTTTCTTTCTTTCTTTTTTTTTGTATGAAAAAATGGGGGGTGGGGGGGGATTTATAATCATTCTACAGATGCATTTGTTCCATAACAACACATTTATTCTAATAATTATTCTATAGCGTCAGGAAATAAATATATGGGTACATGTAGACAATTAAAAATTAGTTATTTTCTAATGGTAGTCTTGGTCCCAAAAACTATGATCAACAACAACTGCAACTAACTTAGTCTCTGAAATCAATGTGTTAGTTACTCAGTGGATTATAATTAAAGGAACAGTTCACCCAAAAATACAGAATCGGACTTTATTTACTAACTCCTGCAGCTCTGAAGGGCCTCTGCTGCACAGGTTTTCATTTAATGTCAAACTAACCGAGCCAGCGAGAGTTTGGCGGATCATCAAAAGGATTTCTAATCACACCACCTCATTCCAAAGCCCTGGGCACTAATCCGAAAAGAGAGTCTACTAGTAAAGCAGTGACACTAAAGGCTAATTCACCCCGCACCACAGACCAGCGCCGTTTCAAGACATTCCAAGACCCGACAAATGCAGATTCAACATGTTCAATAGACGACCAACAGACAACAACAGGGGTAACACACGGGTCAGACAAAACCCGACCAACGTGTCTGTTGCCATTAGTCGGTGTCTGTCAGTGTAGTGTGAATTGGCCTTATGAGACACTCTGAAACTCATGTGACTTTCTTCTATGGAACACAAAATGAGAATTTACACAAAGGAATTTACTGTCTACTCTTTTCAGTAAAATTAAAGTAAAAAGGACCTGGACTATCAAACGTCAAAATTACAAATAGTGCACGATAAAAATATCACAAAAGTATATTCCAAGTGTTCTGATACAAAACCATGTGTCAGGAACACAGACTGAAATATAGTTTTGGTTCTTTTTTTTTTATATATATATATATATATATATTATGTGTACTTTTTGAAGTACCAGTCTATATCCATTGCAAACGGGTGGAAAAGAACAACCAGTATGTTATTCAAAAATGAAAAGTCAAATACATAATACTAAGAAGAAAAAAAATGACCGAATCAGATTTTTGGGTGAACTAACCCTCTAAATGATATCCTTTTGTTTGATTTCCAAACATCTGCTAGACTTAATTAATTTCCATAATGAAAATTGTTTAGCGATGTAGCATATCTTGTCCACTCAGCGGTGCTACTGGTAGACTGTTCTCAGATCAGCGGAGAAAATCTCCCAGGTTATTAACCGCATTTCCGGGACCCATTATTGAACATCCTCTCCTCTCACCTTTCTTTAACAGGCTCAAATGAAGTTATTGCTAATCTGACGCTGATGTTCGAATAAATCCTCAGTTTCAGCACTGTAGGCATCACCTGTGAAAGTGTATCAGAATTTAGACACTAGAATACTTGAGCATACATACATATGTCATTGTTCATTCATTGCTATGGGGATCATACCTGCATGACAGCCATACATAAACACTCTGTGTCCATCATATTTACATCGACAATGCATGACGTTGTTCATAAAATCTGATTCAGCCATGTCCAGGGATGGATTTACCTCAACCTGACAAAACATACACAAGAATGAATAGAGCTCTTCGGTAATGAGATCAATTTGTAGGGCAAGGATAATGTGTGATGGGTTCCCTCAGGAATTACTAATGGGTTAAAAAAAACCTTAATAGGGTCTCTGGTTAACATTACTAAGAGACTTTCACTTTTTCTACTACACCAAAAATCAAACACAGGTATACCTCAAACATTTTTAAGCTGCCTCTTTTTTTTTTATAAACCACAATTGCTACCAAGTTGCTACTTAAGAAGAATCTAATTAAATTAATGCAATATTAAAAGTAATATAATACAGTACTATAATTTTATTTAATAATTTACTATAATACAAACATATACTATAATACTAATTTACTATAATTCAATATAATAATTTACTAAACTAAACTAAATTAAATTAAATTAAATTAAATTAAATTTATATTATATTATATTATATTATATTATAAAGAACTGTAAGGATGGGTGAACAGCATTAAATATAGCTATTGGTGTCATTTAATCATGACATTGTAAAAGTTTCACAGTTGCAAACATGCAGAACCAACAAGGATGTGGAGCTTTTAAAGAAATGTTATGCAATCAGATTGCTCATCAAAGCACTTTACAAATTGCTTTCACCAAATCAGGCTCCCAAATTACTGTTATATAGTCACAATATAATAATTTATTAGTATGAAAACATGCTGTTTAAGCAGGGTATGAGGTCAAACGAGCTTCTTTCAGCTACATTATTCTATGGAAATTTAATGTGATTATGCCTACTAGGCTTAAGAACATTTTAAATGCTGAAACAACAGTTCTTTTATTTTATTTTTGCCATTACTGTGGAAATATTTTTCTTAGTAGCCGAAGGTAATTATTTTGTGAGCACATTCAAATGCAAGTCTTGCTTATCTTTTTTTCTTTGCGCTTTTAATGACAGTGTGCAACTTTAACTCTGGACTGTGGAGATCTGGGTCTGTCTGACCATATGTTTGAGCGAGAAAGTGCCTGTAAAACAGGCGGGCGTAAATTTCTCTGAACCTAATTGACCATGTCTAATAGAGGGGAATATAGCACGCCTTGCTCCTCCAGCAGGGAATGCTTAACATTGGGTTATTTTGGGTGTAAAATTAAAGACAAGCAACTCAAAGAAAAAGCAACAGGTTTGCCTGGATCATCAAGTATAGATGCTTCATTTGTACAGCGCCTTTGCTCGGATGGGTTGGCATGGGATAGCTGGCATCACTCAACATGGAGATGGGAGCTCTGACCTTTGAGTATCACCATGGCTCGTCGCTGTGCCATACATAGCAGCAGCCCGATGCCGGTTTGTAATTAGCATCTGCCAAACGTGCTTAAAATACATGCAAATCTATCATGGCGACATTTCGAGCAAATAAATCTTGAAAATGGTCAAGGCACAAAGGTACACTATAATTAAAACAGAGCTTCACGTCAACCTATATTTTATGACCGGGATGCATAAAAGGACTCTTGATTGGCCCCTAAAGCGGCTCTTTGATTGGCTGGTTCTGCATGTGAAGCTCAGCTGCGGAAGTGTTCACAGTGCCCACAGTGATTTGGATGATTAACATGTTCCAAGGTTAATGACAGAGAAAAAGTGGCTAAACTGCATCCTGAAAAGAGAATCTACTCTTCAAGGAATAGTGAAAAAAGTTTTGTGCTATGACTGCCATCTTCCAAGGTTCAGATGTTCTGAATCATTTCACCTGCATGATGTAGTCTCCAGGTCTGACATCAGTGATGTCTATCCACTGGCAGTCGATATCGTGGCGATAAGTGTCCCAGCAACCCACCGAAATGCCTTGATCTCCATAATTGTAACATGAAAAGCGTTTGTGAAGTCCTGAAGAAATAAAAAACAAAACCAGTTGTGTGTAATTGCACTCGTAAATTATGAAAGCCCCCGAATAAAAGTTTCCGCTACTGAATAAAAAATAAAAAAGGTAATTGCGACTCTTTATCTCACAATTCTGATTTTTTTTTCTTGCAATTCCGATTTACATCTTGCAATTCTGACTTTCGCAGCTACCTTTTTTTTTTTATTATTAAGTGGCAGAAACGGGCTTCTATATAAACCAAATGGCATTAATGTAAGATTTAACACAACTACACTTTTACCATCAGGGCAGTAGGTGTCTTCCAGACAGAAACTGGCTTTGTGTCCTTCGGCCACTCGGCTTCCATTGAGTGTGAGGAGGTCATAATGTGTGAACACTTCAATGCTGTGATAATGCCTGAATCAAAAATATTCATATCAATAAATGTCGGCAGAATCAGAATTCAGTGGTGATTACCAAGGCAAGAATCATTACTACTATTCCTTTTTTTAACAACAATAATCCCATTTAAATCTAAAAACAAGTTGGGTCAAAAGTAATCTAAAAGTAATCAGAATACATTACCTAAACTGAGTAATCTAGATTACATTACTACAAAATCAGTAAAAGACTACAATTAGTACATAATCTAACCAGCACTGCTGGCAACCACCCACAACAACCTAGAGTCATGGCAGCAGTTTTGCTGAGTTTTGCACCAACTTTATTCCAATATGTAAAAATCGAGTTTACTTATATTTCATGCTGGCTAGTGAACATGGGAAGAACAAAGGTTCACTATGGACCACTGCCTAATGACCTCACTGCTCCTACATGAAGGTGTTGGCTGCTACGGCAACACCCTTTCCAGGAAGTTGTTGTTATGCTGACAGGGTTACACTTGCAGAGCTGTTTATTCAGCTCGTCTGAATAGATGGCTTTCAAACGCCAACTTTGCTGGTGTTGTTTTAAAAGATTAATAAAACAGGATTGGCCTGTGAACACGCAAAACCCACAACTCCTCTACAACAGAGCGCCTTGTTCCCACAGAATGGGTTTGCAATTATTTTCAGAACACATGTAAAGGGAGTGGAGGTGCTCAACGGAGCTAATTAATCTAAAAGATGACGGCAAGCTTGCTGACCACCCATGACCAGTTTTAGAAACATGAGTGTACATTCCTTTCATTGCAAGTTGAAATGACTGACTGAACTTAAAGGGGTCATATGATGCTGCTAAAAATAACATTATTTTGTGTATTTGGTGTAATGAAATGTGTTTATGCGGTTTAAAGTTTAAAAAACACATTATTTTCCACATACTGTACATTATTGTTTCTACTCTATGCTCCGCCTTTTTGAAACGCGTCGATTTTTACAAAGCTCATCGGTCTGAAAAAGCGAGGTGTGCTCTGATTGGCCAGCTATCCAGTGCGTTGTGATTGGCCGAATACCTCAAGCGTGAGACGGAAATGTTACGCCCCTCACCATACTGTTGATGCCGTGTCCGGCCGGAGCGACGAGACATAAACATTAAAACCCATTACAAACGAGGCATTTGTCGCATCCAATGGGGACATAATTACTAATTATGACTTATACTGTCTTTTTACGCGTTACGTTGCGCCGCGTAAACATAAAACCCTGTCTGCATTTGTGATCAGAGAAATGACAAACAACAAGTGCTAACGTTAATCCACACTGCCCAAAACTCGCGTTTGAATCATCAGTGGCAAATCCTTTAAATGAAAACGTACTTACAGACTGTGAGTCAGAACTACCGGCATTTTAGTCTAACGTTACTCTACCAGGATCAGTAAACAGTCCTCCATAAAATGCGCTGCACACATCTGGATATTTGGGTTAAACTGTTCTGGAACAGTGTTGTAAATACAACTTAACCACTGATTTCTAGTCGTGTCCTCTTTTGGAAGACCAAACAAAGTAGTTTCGCTTTCACAACGAAAAACACAGCGGCCTAGCGGAAGCCCCGGCTTAGCATGAGCTGAGGCCGGGCTAGAATGAGCAAAGGCGGCGGGGTCGAGAACGGCGCGCCCGGCGGATCCGACGAAGGAGCGGTGAAAACGGTGAAAGCCAATCCGGCGATCCACAGCACTAAGTTGAAGTATTCCCTCAGCGACCAGCACAGATCAGCTCTAGGCATGACGAAGCGGATATCGTCCTCTTTTGGAAGACCAAACAAAGTAGTTTCGCTTTCACAACGAAAAACACAGCGGCCTAGCGTGAGCGAAAGCCCCGGCTTAGCCTGAGCTGAAGCCGGGCAAGAGTGAGCTGAGGCGGCGGGGTCGAGAACGGCGGTCCCGGCAAAGGAGCGGTGAAAACGGTGAAAGCCAATCCGGCGATCCACAGCACTAAGTTGATGTATTCCCTCAGCGACCAGCACAGATCAGCTCTAGGCATGACGAAGCGGATATCGTCCTCTTTTGGAAGACCAAACAAAGTAGTTTCGCTTTCACAACGAAAAACACAGCGGCCTAGCGTGAGCGAAAGCCCCGGCTTAGCCTGAGCTGAAGCCGGGCAAGAGTGAGCTGAGGCGGCGGGGTCGAGAACGGCGGTCCCGGCAAAGGAGCGGTGAAAACGGTGAAAGCCAATCCGGCGATCCACAGCACTAAGTTGATGTATTTCCTCAGCGACCAGCACGGATCAGCTCCAGGCATGACGAAGCGGATATCGTCCTCTTTTGGAAGACCAAACAAAGTAGTTTCGCTTTCACAACGAAAAACACAGCGGCCTAGCATGAGCGAAAGCCCCGGCTTAGCCTGAGCTGAAGCCGGGCAAGAGTGAGCTGAGGCGGCGGGGTCGAGAACGGCGGTCCCGGCGAAGGAGCGGTGAAAACGGTGAAAGCCGATCCGGTGATCCACAGCACTAAGTTGATGTATTCCCTCAGCAACCAGCACGGATCAGCTCTAGGCATGACGAAGCGGATATCGTCCTCTTTTGGAAGACCAAACAAAGTAGCTTCGCTTTCACAACGAAGCACACAGCGTCTTCACGACATGGCGGCAGCGGCAACAACAAAACTACAGCGAGAATAAAAGTTACGCCTTCTTTCTTTGCGTGAACATTTGGGCGGCGTTATGCAAATCTTCCCACATAGTGAGGTAGATATGTGGGGGCGTGTTCGAACGAGCCGTTTTAGGTAGGTGTGGCTAACTCTTAACTTTTATAAAGAATATCTCTTTGGATTTGAGACTTTAGTCTTTGCAACTTTACAGATCTTCTTTATGCACCAAGAGCTTGTAACACTCCAAAGAGAAAGGAAAAAATGAAATTGCATCATATGACCCCTTTAAAACAGAGTCCGAGTGTTGTTTTTCTGTGTCTGTGATCTGATCAGCGAGTTTCTGTAAAGCGGAGCTCACGTGTGCTTGCGGAGGAATGTACACACTTACGAGAATGAACGAGCAAAACTCCCGCGGCGAGTAGAAAGGCTTACAGTTAATGAAGAGCACT